TCCATGGGGGTGATAGGATCCTAAAGTAACAGAGGCCAGGCAGTGATTTTAACTGCCAGAAGCTTAGAGGCCCCAGTTACTGTAACAACTGGCAAGGCCAGAGGGGCAACCACAGGGGCTTGATCTGCAGGGGGTTGTGAGGTGGTTAATAAAGCAAGATGTCCCTAGGGGCAAAATAGATGGGCAGCCAAGAAGGGTACCACTTAACATGTACAGTCAGAAAAAGCAAGACTGGAAGAGCGAGAGGCTGAGGGTTGTTGTTGTTGTTAGGTACTGTCGAGTCAGTTCCTACTCATAGCAACCCTATGTACAACAGAATGAAACACTGCCCAGTTCCGTGCCATCCTCACAATCGTTGTGATGCTGGAGCCCATTGTCGCAGCCACTGTATCAGTCCATCTCGTTGAGGGTCTTCCTCTTTTTCGCTGACTCTCTGCTAAGCCTGATGTCCTTCTCCAGGGACTGGTCCCTCCTGATAACGTGTCCAAAGTACTTGAGACAAAGTCTCATCATCCTTGCTTCTAAGGAACATTCTGGCTGTACTTCATCCAAGACAGATTTGTTTGTTCTTTTGGCAGTCCATATACATTCAATATTTTTCACCAACACTGTAGTTCAAAAGCATTGATTCTTCTTCAGTCTTCCTTATTTATTGTTCAGCTTTCATATGCATATGATTGAAAACACCATGGCTTGAGTCAGACACACCTTAGTCCTTAGTGACATCTTTGCTTTCCAACACTTTAAAGAGACCTTTTGCAGCAGATTTGCCCAATGCAATGCATTGTTTGATTTATTATTGCCTGCTGCTTCCATAAGTGTTGATTGTGGATCCAGTAAAATGAAATCCTTTATAACTTCAATCTTTTCTCCATTTATCATGATGTTGCTTATTGGTCCAGTTGTGAGGACTTTTGTTTTCTTTATGTTAAGGTGTAATCCACACTGAAAGCTGTGGTCTTTGATCTTCATCAGTAAGTGCTTCAAGTCTCCTTCACTTTCAGCAAGCAAGGTTGTGTCGTCTGCATATCACAGGTTGTTAATGAGTCTTCCTCCAGTCCTGATGCCCCGTTCTTCACATAGTCCAGTTTCTCGAATTATTTGCTCAGAATACCTATTGAATAAGTAGGGTGAAAGGATACAACCCTGACACACAGCTTTCCTGACTTTAAACCACACAGTATCCCCTTGTTCTGTTCGAATGACTGCCTCTTGGTCTATCTACAGGTTCCTCATGAGCACAATTAAGTGTTCTGGAATTCCCATCGTTCACAATGTTATCCATAATTTGTTATGATTCACGTAGTTGAGTACCTTTGCATAGTCAATAAAACATAGGTAAACACCTTTCTGGTATTGTTGGCTTCCAGCCAAGATCCATCTGATATCAGCAATGATATCCCTTGTTCCAGGTCCTCTTCTGAATCCAGCTTGAATTTCTGGCAGTTCCCTATCTATGTACTGCTGCAACCGCTTTTGAATGATCTTCAGCAAAATTTTACTTCTATTTGATATTAATGATATTGTTCGATAATTTCCACATTCTGTTTGATCACCTTTCTTTGGAATGGGCACAAATATGGATCTCTTCCAGTCGGTTGGCCAGGTAGCTGTCTTCCAAATTTCTTGGTCTAGACGAGTGGGCACTTCCAGCACTGCATCCATTTGTTGCAACGTTTCGGTTTGTATTCTGTTAATTCCTGGAGCCTTGTTTTTCGCAAATGCTTTCAGTGCAGCTTGGACCTCTTTCTTCAGTACCATCAGTTCTTGATCATATGCTACCTCCTGAAATGGCTGAACGTTGATCAATTCTTTTTGGGATAGTGCCTCTGTGTATTCCTTCCATCTTCTTTTGATGCTTCCTGAGTCGTTTAATATTTTCCCCATAGAATCCTTCAATATTGCAATTCAAGGCTTAAATTTTTGTTTCAGTTCTTTCATCTTGAGAAATGCCGAGTGTGTTCTTCCCTTTTGGTTTTCTGTTGCCAGGTCTTTGCACATTTCATTATAATATTGTACTTTGTCTTCTCCAGCCACCCTTCGAAATTTTCTGTTCAACTCTTTTACTTCATCATTTCTTCCTTTTGCTTTAGCTACTGTACATTCAAAAGCAAGTTTCAGAGTCTCTTGTGTCATCCATTTTGGTCTTTTCATTCTTTTTAATTACCTCTTGGCGTCTTCACGTATGATGTCCTTGATATCATTTCACAACTCGTCTGGTCTTTGGTCATTAGTGTTCAATGCGTCAAATCTATTCTTGAGATGGTCTCTAAATTCAGGTGGGATATACTCAAGGTTGTGCTTTGGCTCTCGTGGACTTGTTCTAATTTTCTTCAACTTCAACTTGAACTTGCATATGAGCAATTGATGGTCTGTTCCACAGCAGCCCCTGGCCTTGTTCTGACTGATGATACTGAGCTATTCCATCATCTCTTTCCACAGAGGTAGTCGATTTGATTCCTGTGTATTCCATCTGGCAAGGTCCACTTGTATAGCTGCCATTTATGTTGTTGAGAACAGGTATTTGCAATGAAGAAGTCGTTGGTCTTGCAAAGTTCTGTCATGAGATCTCCAGTGTCATTTCTATCAACAAGACCATATTTTCCAACTACCAATCTTTCTTTGTTTTCAGCTTTTGAATTCCAATCACCAGTAATTATCAATGCATCTTGATTGCATGGTTGATCAATTTCAAACTGCCGAAGTTGGTAAAAATCTTCAGTTTCTTCATCTTTGGTCTTAGTGATTGGTGTGTAAATTTGAATAATAGTTGTATTAACTGGTCTTCCTTGTAGGCATACGGATATTATCCTATCACTGACAACACTGTACTTCAGGATAGATCTTGAAATGTTCTTTTTGAAAATGAATGTGATGCCATTCCACTTCAATTTGTCATTTCCCACACAGTAGACCATATGATTGTCTGATTCCAAATGGCCAATACCAGTCCATTTCAGCTCACTAATGCCTAGGATATCAATGTTTACGTTTTCCATTTCATTTTTGACGATTTCCAATTTTCCTAGATTCATACTTCATACATTCCATGTTCTGATTATAAATGGATATTTGTGGCTGTTTCTTCTCTTTTTGAGTCATGCCACATCAGTGTATGAAGGTCCCAAAAGCTTGACTCCATCCATATCATTAAGGTCACTATTAAGGTTGACTCCATCCACATCATTGAGGCCACATTCTCTGAGGGTGGTTGCCCCAATTAAAAGTCATGTTCCTTGCTTGATTCCCAGATTTAATTTTCAGTTCTGAAACCCATTGACTTAAGAGGTGGCCAGGCCCCTAGGAAGAGGGATCCTGCAACATTGAAACAAGTATTTACTGTAACAATTTTCCTGTGGCCTAAAGCCATGTTTTTAGCTGACTATATGCCCTTTGGTAATACCTAGATATTTCACAGTGTCTGAGAGGGTCTTGTTACCCAAAGATTCAAGTGTTATCATGGCCCCTCTGTAAGAGTAGGGGCTTACGGGGGACATGTGATAAGCAGAGTCCTGGAAAATATCCAGCTTACAATGGGTCAGTCCACTGGGTATACAGGCCCAACCAGTGGTCATTCCACATTCCCTGGGTGCATAATTGGAATTATGTATTAAGTAGATGAAGCAGCCTCTACATTGCGTCCTTGACCTTGAGTTATTATAGTAGGGAAGGTCAAGTGGAAGCCTCTAAATCTACCCACCCACCAAAACAAGATAGTAAATCAAAACCAATATTGTATCTGTGGGGATGTAGGGGTTGGTGGACGTTAATGCCACATTTAAAGAACTAAAGAATGCAGGAGTGATGGTCCCCATTATATTTCCATTTTATTTGCCAATTTGGCCCCTTCAGACACCAGATGGATCCAGGAGAAGGATTGTAGACTATCACAGACTTTAACCAAGTAGTATCCCCAATCACAACTCTTGTACTGGCTCTGCCGTTAATTTTGTCCAAAAAGATCTGTACCACCTGGACATCCCATGGAACATCACACTGATTTATTACATTGGCAACATTGTGCTAATTGGACAGGATGATCAAGGGTTGGCTAGGACATTGGAGATCTTGTTAAGACACATGAATTCCAGAGGGTGAGAGATAAGTCCTGTAAAGATTCAGCGACCTGCCACTTCAGTGAAGTTTTTAGGGGTTCAGTGGTCAGGGGACTGCCAGGATATTCCTTTCAAGGTAAAAAGCAAATTATAGATAAGCAAAATAAAAGAAAAAATCACTTATAAACCCTCTAAAAGAGGTACCTAAAATTGATCATAATGTGTATGTACTCCAAGATGGATTTTTATTATGCATAGAATATAAATATAAAATAAACTAAAAAGAGACAATAGTACTTATCACCATCCGATAATCTTGTTTATTTATTTATTTACTTTATTGTCTATCTTCCATCAGTGTAATATAAGCTCCATGGAAGCTGGGTCTTAGTCTTGTTTACTGCTATATCCACGGCACCTAGAATACAGTTGGTGCTCAATAAATACTTTTTTGGTGGAATGAATGAAGCGTACTATACATGTTGTTTTTAGCCAGTTATTTTCAGCTGACTTCCAGGCATTTGAGGTTATACTTCATCTTTCTTAAAATGTGTCACTCCAGAAGTCGTCTGAAAGTAAATCGTTTTCACATTCCAAAGACCACTTCTATCAGAGCAGCTTCAGAACCAAGAAGCATTAATCTTTTGGCAGCCCTCGAGTCTCTTTCCTTTTGGCCAGTACTGTCTTAGAATCAACAGCGAGCACAACCTTTCCTGGATCGTTCTTTAGACAACACAGGTTTTAAGGACTGTTGTTCCTAAGCAAGCAGCCCAGCCCAGGGCCACGTCTTTCCTCTGGCCACCAGGGGGCGCGAGAGCCCCACAGTCCGCTCAAGGCCCGAGGCCCACTGGGAGGACGACTCTGGGCGGGTGTGTTGCTTGCCCGATGTGGGCGGAGCAAAGGGCCTCTAGGCCCGAGCAGAGGGCAGGAAGTGAGGAGGCGGGGCTTTTGGGGTGGTGTGTACGCTTGCGTGTAGGTCCGGACGGAGAAGTCTTCGTATTCGCTACCGCTGTGGTTTGTGCTCGAGTTGATGCTTTTGCACTCCTTTTCCGAGTTGGATCGGGCCAAGGGGAGGGGCAGAATGGGGGAAATGGGCTGGGAAGAACTTCGGGGGCAGCTGGGGTGAGGACTGGTTGGGGTGGGGTGGGGTGGGGTGACGAGGGCGGGGGAAGGGTCGAAGGGGATTGTTCGGTCCGGTGTGGGGACAACCGGGAGTGTTGAGTCGAGGGAGAGGGGTTAGTAGGAGTATGTAACAATTAAGCCTTAGTCTTTCCTCCTTGTACCCCCCCTTGGAGTGAATTGCAGGAAACCATTTTGTGGCCGGACGGGCATTGTAGATTGGCAAAGTTTCTACTTCGTTATTCTTGAGGAAGATAGCTCTCCCTCTTAACCCCCGTCCCCCGCTTGAGCCTTTCCTCCTCATTAGTGGCTTTTTAAAAAGTACTGTTTTTTTTGTTTTTTTTTGTTTTAATTTGTCAAAGAAGCATTCTGTACCTCATTCTGACACTTCCACCTATGGAAAATCGCTTCTCGCAGTTTAAGCCATCTGAATCAGTCTCTCTTTTTTACCTCTTCTCTGTGAAGGTAGTGAAGATAAAAGTTTTCCTGCCTAACTAGGCAATGAAAAGTAGAAAATTTCCTGTCTAAACATTTGTATGGAGTTTTAATAATTTCTTTATAAACTTGTTTACAAAAACCACTTTTTATGACTATGCAAAACGGAGAAACAGTTTTATTGTGCCATGCAATCCTCAACAAGAAATTTTAGTCCAGGGAGATGAAGATACCTCATTTGGAATTCAGGGGTTGATCACCTATAGTGACCAACCAATGCCATGTAACCCTCACTAAAAGGATTTAGGTTCGTATCCATCATTGTCAGTCGTGGTGAAGGGGTACAGTGTGACATTTGGAAGCTTAAGAACCTAGTCTGCTGCCTTCCAATTTATTTTTTTTTAAAAGCCTTCCATCATGTGTGTATTTTGCTCGAATGATTATTTAAAGTACATGTCCTATTTTTGCCAATCTGACAGTTGTTTCCATAGAAACTAGAGAAGAACTAGTCATTTTCAGCAGAGTTGCTAAAACTGTCTTCCAGGCTTCAGCTGTGAGTGCTGCACTTGCTCATTCTGAGATGATACTTAAAGAGTTAAGGATCTGAAATGTTCTTAGAGGCTAACAATCCAAATTGTTTCATTGTCTCACATCATTAATTTAGTAATCTTAGAAGTCTGCCAGCTATGTTTGTTGACCTGCCAAAGTTCTTTGAAGAGAATGTGTCCGCTCTGAGTCTTTCTCTTATGCTGTGTAGTCTGATGATGGGCTCTTTGAGAAATATATAGATTTCTTCCTCTTTCTCAACCCTTTCTTAAGGATAAACCAGGGATTACAAGGCGATTGGAACCCGCCAGCTGCTCTTTTCTTTTCTGAGGGGTGTAAGTAAATCAGTGGTCTGGAGTTGAGGAATTGGTGAAGCAGGTTGGGGGGTTGCCTGGAGAAGTAGGAATAGGCAGCGTTATGAAGGATATGGTTTCCACATGAAGGAGTTTTTTGAAAACCAATAGAAATTACACACAAAAATAGTTGCCTTTTTTGGTTTTGGGACTTATGAAAGTAATATCCTGTAACAATTTAAACAGCACAGAAACATGTAAGATGGAAATAATAAATCCCTCATAACCACTATCCTGCCACCCAAAATAACCACTTTGAATAGTTGAGTGTATCTTTCTTTAGAATTTGTTAGTTTTTTAAAATATAATAATATTTTATCATTACTATTTTTGTGAATTGAGCAGAGATTGTTGTCTGTTTTGTTCTCTGTGGTACCCTAGCACCCAGAATGATGTCTGTCACATAGTAACCAAAAACAAAAAAACAAACCAACCCTGACGTCAAGAGGATTCCCACTCATAGTGACCCAGTGAGAGTAGAACTGCCCCATAAGGTTTTCAAGAAGTGGCTGGTGGATTCAAACTGCCGACCTTTTGGTTAGAAGCTGAGCTCTTAACCACTGCACCACCAGGGCTCCCTGGGCACACAGTAGGCACTCATTAAATATGTAATGAATGAATGAATAGAATGAATAGCTATCATGTAATTCAGAGGTCAAAAACTGAATGAGATCTGGATGTTTGGTCAAGGTGGTTAAAAATTTTTTTTTTTTAATTGGTTGCCAGTATTTTTAAATTGGTAAATTTCATATAAAATCTGAATTTCTGGCTTTCCTTGGAAGTTTTGAAACATTTGGCAATGGTAAGTCATATTCCATTAGATTCTTACTGAGAAGCAGCACCTCCTTAAGATGGACATGGATTTGCATTTACATCTGAATGGCTTTACTGTCTTAGTCACCTGCCTCCATCCTACAGACCTTTGCTGTCCAGTATGTTAACTACTAGTCACGTATGTCCACTGAACTGTAAATTAATAAAAATTAAGCAAATTAAGAATTCTGTTCCTCAGTTGTGCCAGTCATATTTCAAGTGCTCACTAGCCCCATGTAAGGGCTGCTGTATTAAGCAGTGCCGATACAGAACATTTCCATCATTGCAGAAAGTTCTTTTGTACAGTGCTGCTTTAGACATTTGAGTTTGCCACCCCCCTACCCCGTAGAGAGTTTTACAAGTAACACTTATTTTTAAAAATTGAGTATGTTTGTCAGGATCAGATCCACTTCATATTTTAAATGGTTGCATTGTATTTAGCAACATAGGACTTTGTGAATTGTGGGGTTAAGACTGCATTTCTGAATTGCATTTTGGAAAGATTGCTTTATCTTTGGAGTAGGAGTGGTGGTGAAATAAGGCAGAGAGATTAGTTAAGAGGGTGTTCAGTAATCTAGAGGACAAAATGCCATAGGGCCCAGGAAGGGCTTGATTGAGATATTGAGGAGGTAGAATTGACATGATAGATTTAATGTGGGCTGAGATCTTTTGGACGCTCATGTCACTGTAGAGATAATCCAGTATTCTCTGAAATTGATTCCATATTGGGAGTTGGGAAATTTGGCTTTGCAAAGTAAAGAGGGAAACCTCAGCTAGTCCCAATAAACAACATGTATAGTATTAAAACATTATCAACTTGTATATGAAACAAATGTGTAAATGTTGTTTTATACCGTGTAATATCTTGTTAGGTGCTGTGGAAGTGTTCCTTATGTATAACGAAACATTGCCCGGTCCTGCGCCATCCTTACAATCGTTACTGTATTTGAGCCCATTGTTGCAGCCACTGGGTCAGTGCATCTTGTTGAGGGTCTTCCTCTTTTGCACTGACCCTCTAATTCAACCAGGCATCATGTCGTTCTCCAGGAATTGGTCCCTTCTGATAACATGTCCAAAGTAAGTGAGAAAGTCTCACTATCCTTGCTTCTAAGGAGCATTCTGGCTGTACTTCTTCCAAGACAGATTTGTTCACATATTCAGGATTCTTTGCCAACAGCATAATTCAGAGACCTCAGTACTTCTTCAGTCTTTCTGTTCATTGTCCAGCTTTCGCATGCACATGAGGTGGTTGAAAATACCAAGGCTTCGATCAGGTGCACTTTCATCCTCAAAGTGACATCTTTGCTTTTTAACATCTTGAAAAGGTCTTTTGCAACAGATTTGTCCAGTGCAATATGTTGTTTGATTTCTTGACTGCTGCTTCCATGGGCGTTGATTGTGTATCCAAGGAAAATGAAATGTAATCTGTTAGAGATCATTGATTTGCAAGATACGAAAACACGTTGAAAAGGTGAAATTATTTTAGGGATAAGTAGAGAGCTTGTGAAGCTGAGTTAGAGGTAGGAAGTACACGGTCTCTTGGGAACAGGGAAGTTTTAGTCTCTTCTGTCTCTTTCTTTCTGGCTATTTGGTCATTTTACCTTCTCTCCACACGTATGTTCCATTGCTGTTTTTGTAGATTCACTTCTTTTACAAAACTTTTAGTTTGCAGTTCTTGCTTGCGTGTTGCTTTGTGCTGCTGTAGCACGAACTTGTGCACGTCCTTATATTCCTGTGCCTGATTCTGTCTTACCAAAATCTCTACGGTGTTAGCTATCTACCCTTAACTCTGGTCAGTGGCAATGGTCACTAGGTACAGGCATGGCAGTCTAGGCCCAGTCTAGGATGCACGATGCACTTATAAAAAGGGGTCATGGTTGGGCAAGAACCCGAACCTTGTCTACTACAGCAAATTAGCAGATTTAAAGTAAAGGAAAGAGAGGGTTTGTGTTGTTTTTACAGTTTGACTTGTTAATGAAAGATTTTATATATTTAAACCTTAAGTACTTCTCCATTTGAAACCATTTTTTTTTCCTAATTTTTTGTCTTTCTACATCTGCCCACATAGCATAAAAAATAATAGTTGCCTTCCTGAGTGTTTCTATTTCTCATAAAGTTTCTTTTTTTTAGTTTCATACAGTACATAGCACTTAATGCAGAACTGTATTTTGTTATCCCCTAATATTTTTACTTGGGTTCATTATTGCTCCTCAACTCTGTGAGGGCAAGGACTACATTTTATGCTGTCTATCTGTAGCTCCCATACCACTATGAAGAACCTTGCTAGCCACTCAAATAATTTAAAAAAAATATTGTATTTTTGGAGAGAGAATACACAGCAAAACAGGCTGCTATTCAACAATTTCTGCACATAATGTTCAGTGACATTGATTGCATTCTTCAGTTTATGTCATTCTCATTATTTCCATTCTAGTTGTTCTACTTCCAGTAATTTAGTTTCACTGCTCCTCAAACTTCTCATCTATGCTTCAGAGAAACTTTTCTACATTTGGTCCCACATAGGTAATTTTTAAAAGAGTGCAGTTCTCGATAGAAACTGTAGTTTTTGAGCTAACCTGCTATTTAGTTAAAAGGTGTTTTCAGGGCATAGTTTCTGTTCAGTGTTTAAAGAGTATCTCAAGCCAATACTCTCAGGGATTCCTCCAGTCTCATTGGGTCCAGTAAGTGTGGACTCTTTGATAGTTTGAAGTTCTGCTCCACATTTTTCTCCTCTTTCTATCAGAATAC